CCTGGCTGAGGTCCAGGAGGAGCACTTCCCGAGGAGGTGGGGGCGACCAGCCCGAGGGCCTGGAGAGCCTCCTGCCCGTGCTGCTGCGGGGGGTGCAGACCTGAGCTCCCGCACTCATGGCTCCTCTTCTCTTAGCTTCTAAGGTTCTTGCTTTTCCACACCCAGAAGACAGTGCCCGAAGCCAGGGACACCAGCCATGCGCCAAACAACTGGGCCTCAGGTGAGCCGAGCTTCCTTTCCGTCTGTTAAAAAGCACATTAGCGCCCGGCCGGTGTGGCTCAGTGGTTGAGCACGGGCCTTATGAACCAGGAGGTCAGGCTCCAGGAGGTCACGGTTGGATTCCCCATGAGGCCCCTGTCCAGGTTGTGGACTCCATCCCTGGTGGAGGACGAGCAGGACGCAGCCCATCAATGATTCTCTCTCATCCTTTTTTTTTTTTAATATATTTTATTGATTTTTTACAGAGAGGAAGGGGGAGGGATAGAGAGTTAGAAACATCAATTAGAAACATCGATCAGCTGCCTCCTGCACGCCCCCTACTGGGGATGTGCCTGAAACCAAGGTACATGCCCTTGACCAGAATCAAACCTGGGACCCTTGAATCCGCGGGCCGACACCCTATCCACCGAGCCAAACCGGTTAGGGCGATTCTTTCCTCATCCTTGATGTTTCTGCCTCTTGCTCCCTCTCCCTTCTCTCTGAAATCAATACACATTTATTTTTTTAAAAAAATCACAGTAGCTCTCACTTGATCAGGAAAGGACCAAGAAGACCTAAGGTGGCCAGGCTCTGGTTTTCTCTTCGAGTAAATACCCGGGGGAGGAAATGAGAGTTTTGTGTATAGAAAGGGATGAATTTGGGTGTGTAGGTTTAAGTGTAAAAGGGGGACCCAAGCCTAGAAATTCTCCTTCACTGTGGAAATCTAGATCATGTTCTTCAAAGAAAAGTCACCTGCTGAGGTCAGAGAAATTCTTCACTGAAGAGATTGCCCCACAAATTGGAGACGTATCCCAGAGAGACCAGCATTGTTCCTCCCATACGCACTTTCTAAATGCTGGGTGCATAGTATTAAATAATGCAGACAAGTTCCTTGTTCTCATTAGCCAAATAGGCTGCAAACAGATACACAAATTAATACCATAATTAGATGTTGCGAAAGCACAATGCTTCTCAAGCGTGTGGTCCACTGGCAGTGTGGGCATCACCTGGGAGCTCATTAGAATTGGTCTTGGGCCCCATCTTAGACTCCGTCAGACTGGGGAGGAGGATAGCGAGGCCGGGAATCTGCTGTGAAAGCCCTTCAGGGGATTTTTATATACCTTCTCAAATTTGAGACACCTCAAGGAAGCTACCTCTCCAGGGGAGGTCTCCTAGAGGTAGGATCTCATGTCAAGGATGCGATAGAAACAGTCTTGGGAACTGCAGAAGAGAGAACTTTCCAGAGAGAAAGACAGCAAATGCAAAGCCCCTGTAGTGGGGGTGGGGTGGGGGTGAGGGGAGCTGGGTGGACTTTAGAAACGGGGAAGTCAGAGAAAGTTGTTCAGTGTGAGATGGAAACGTAGGCACATGTCTCTGGTAGGTCACTATGAAGACTTTGGTTTCTACTCTGGGTTCACTGGGAAAGCACTAAAGAATTTTAAAAAGGGGAGGTGACATGGTTAGATTTATCTATTTAAAAGATTTTCCGTGGTGGTGAGTTGGTTGTGGAAGGGTATTGGTCAGTTGCATAT